GACTACTCTGTCCTCCTCCTCCTGGACCTCTCCGCGGCCTTCGACACAGTTGACCACCCCCTCCTCCTTAATAAACTACTCTCCCTTGGCATCAGAGACACCACTCTCTCCTGGTTCTCCTCTTACCTATCACAACGCTCCTTCAGCGTTTACTACAATGGTGCCACCTCCCCTTCCCTCCCCCTCTCTGTTGGGGTCCCCCAGGGCTCTGTCCTTGGACCCCTTCTCTTCTCCATCTACACCTCCCTTGGCAAACTCATACACTTCCACGGCTTCAACTACCACCTCTACGCTGATGACACTCAAATTTACCTCTCCACCCCCCACCTCACCCCTACATTCTCCGCCCGCATCACTCACCTCCTAAACGACATCTCTGACTGGATGTCGCTCCATTTCCTCAAGCTTAACCTCTCCAAAACCTCTCTCGTCTTCCCCCCTGCCTGCGCCCCCCCCCCCCCCATCCTATCCATCACTATCAACAACACCACCATCAATCCCACCCCGCAAGCCAAAGTCCTTGGCGTCATTTGGGACTCAAACCTCTCCTTCCAACCTCATGTCAAATCACTTACAAACACATGCAGGCTCCACCTTCGCAGCATCGCCAAAATACGCACCTTCCTTACCCCAGACACCACTAAAATACTTGTACAGTCCCTGATTATCTCACGCCTCGACTACTGCAACTCCCTCCTCACCAGCCTACCCCAGTGCAGGCTCTCCCCGTTCAGACAATCCTGAACTCAGCGGCTAGACTCATCCACCTCACCAACCGCTCCACCTCTGCCACCCCCCTCTGCCTTTCCCTCCACTGGCTCCCTATCGCCCAACGCATCAAATTCAAACTACTCACTCTGACCTACAAAGCCATTCACAACACTACCCCTAACTACCTCACCAACCTGATTCCCAGGTATCACCCCACCCGTACCCTTCGCTCTTCACAGGACCCCCTTCTATCTTGCCCCCTGGTCTCCTCCTCCCACGCACGTCTGCAAGACTTCTCCAGGTCCTCCCCCATCCTCTGGAACTCACTACCCCAATCCATCAGACTGTCACCTTCCCTCCTCACCTTCAGGCGCTCCCTGAAAACCCACCTCTTCAGGGAAGCCTACTCCACCCTCACCTAACTGCCGTTCTCCTTCATTCCTCCTACCACTCCATCCCCCACAGCCACTTCCTCCTGTACCACTACCCCCTCCCTCCTAGATTGTAAGCTCGAAAGAGTAGGGCCCTCTAACCCCTCGTGTGCTGTTTGTAGTTGCTGTACTGTTTCATGTATTGTTCCCCCCTCTATTGTACAGCGCTGAGCAAACCCTTTGGCGCTATATAAACTAGATGTAATGTAATGTAATTTTTCGCTTCATAAGACGCACCTGACCATAATGTGCACTTAGGTTATAGAGGAGGAAAATAAGAAAAAAAATAATCTGAACCAATGGACTGCTGAAATAGTACAGGAAATGACCAGAGACTGTGGACACAGTACAGGAGATGACCAGAGACTTGGCCAATATTTGCTCCATAAGACGCACAGACATTTTCCCCCATTTTTGGGGGGGGGGGAGAAGTGCGTCTTATTTAGCGAAAAATATGGTACTTACCTGCTCCATGCAGTTGGATTGTACAGAGCAGCCACAGACCTTTTCTAGGATCCCCGCTGGCACTCTTGACTTTTTCTTTTCTGTCCCCATAGCAAACTTTTTTCCTTTGTGGCAGATGTGCAGGCTCGCTCCCAAGCCGGGCTGTGTTCCATAGACACAAACAGTGCGGCTTGGCCCCACTTCCTGCTCCCTCTTCACAGGATTTGATTGACAGCAGCAGGGGCCAATGGCTCCCTCTGCCTCCGCAAAGCCTGTGGGAGAGGGGAGAGAGCAACTACAGCAGGGCACAGCGCTGGATTAAGTAAGCACTTGGGTAAGTATTTAGGTGGTTGAGGGCGATACCACTACTGGGACTTTTTTTTTTTACCTTAATGGAAGGAATGCATTAAAGTAAAAAAATGTCTAGCCTTTAAAACCACTTTAAAAGATTTGAGTAATAATCTTTATCAACCTGAACACATTTTACAATTGTTTTACTGTGCTATTTAACCATTTGACGCCCAGCCTATGGCCAAATGGCGTGCGCAAAAATGCATTCGCTTTCCGGGAGGCCGCCATATGGCGTCCTCCCCCGCACATGTGCAGTTCGCGCGCTTGCAGAGCCGCGCAGCGGCGCGATCTGTCACCGGCCGTGTACCTTGGACACGGCCAATCACAGATCTGAGTACCGGCCCCCGTTGCCGGTACCATGTGACCTGCTGTGACCAATAACAGCAGGTCACATGACAGTTGTATACAATGGATGGCTTCATTCATGCCATCCATTGTATACTAGTGTCTAGCTGTGAATGGTCACAGCTAATCACATGCACATGTCATGTGATTAGCTGTGGCCAAATCACAGCTAAGCACAAGAAAAAAAAAAAAAAAAAAAAAAAAAAAAAAACCCTGAATGAATCGATGTCATTCAGGTAAATGCTTGCTTATAGCAAAGTAATTATTTGCTATAAGCAAATTGTGTAAAAAAACAAAATACTGATCACTTCCCCAAAGTAGTACAATGTTACTATGTTAACATTGTACTACTTCGGACATAGTGAAATATGAAAAAAAAATCTTAAAAAAAAGAAAGAAAATTTAATAAAACATTTAAAATAAAAAAAAATAAAATATATATATATTTTTTTTTTTTTCACACTTTCACCAGTCAGTGTCCCTGATCACCGCCATGCCAGTTATATGATGACGCTGTACTGCACTGGTGACAGTATAAAAAAAAAAAAAAATTGTGAAGATAATTTTTTTTAATTTTCCGAAAAATTATGACAAAAAAAATACAACTTCAAAAAACTCGCCATGCCTCTTATGAAGTACGTCGGACTGTCTACTCTGCAAAAAGGGGTCATTTGGGGGATATCTGTACTGTTCTGACATTCTTGGACCTCAAGAAATTAGATTGGCTGTCAGTACTTCAGGATTGATCAATATTCAGATCTATACCATAGTTTGTGAACTCTATAACTTTCCTACAAACTAAAAAATACATCCTAATTTTGGGTTATTTTCACCAAAGACGTAGTAGAATACATCTTGGCCTAAATTTATGAAGAACTATTATTTATTTGCAAACTTTTATAACAGAAACAAAGAAAAACGTGTTTTTTTTTTTTTTTTTTTAATTTTCTGACTTTTTTGTTAATTTAGCAAAAAATAAAACCCCCAGCGATGATTAAATACCACCAAAAGAAAGCTCTAGTTGTGTGAAGAAAATTATAACATTTTAGTTTGGGTACAATGTTGTATGACTGCGCAATTGTCATTCAAAGTGTGAGAGCGCTGAAACCTGAAAAATGGCCTGGGCAGGAAGGTGTAAAATTGCACGGTATTGAATTGGTTAAAGTGATCCCAAACCTAGTTGCTTGAATTAAGGTAAAAAAATGTTTTTAAGTTCCCTGTGCTCCCCGCTCTCTGTGTGCAGTGGAAGAGAGGGGAGAAGAGATCAGCACTGTGCGCAGCTGCATCTCTTCTCCCCCCGCTTTCTCTTCACACAGGGACTCGAACAGCTTTAGGAGCCATTAGCTCTTGCTGCTTGCAATCAAGTGCGATGAAAAGAAAGTGGGGGGTGGTGCTAAGTTCCTCTGTGTATGTCTATGGAGCACAGCTACGTAGACACACAAGTTGGGGACGAGCACGCAGTGTTTGTCCCCATAGCAAACAGCTTGCTATGGGGGGACACAGAGGAGGAGGGGCCAGGATCGCTGGTGGGGGACCTGAGAGGAGAAGGATTGGGGCTGCTCTGTGCAATGCCACTGCACAGAGCAGGTGAGTATTAAATGTTTATTTAAAAAGAAAAAAATTCTGCCTTTAGTAACAATTGGTTTTTGTTGCAATTAGCACTATGAACTGTAACAGATAACTTTTAGAATGTCATTGTATTGTATGTAAAACCATTGTTTGTACAGTACTGATAAAATGTCTCAAGTGATTACCTTCAGAAAATAATTTAACAAAACTGGCCAGCCCCTCCTATTTTATCTTTCATACTGATCATTTCTGTAACTAGATATGTGCATGGGCATTAAATATTTGGTAAATTTTCTGAAAATTAACCCTTCTATTGCAAGAGTTGCTTATTTGTAAACTTTTATATTAGCATCACAGTGTCACCCCATTACTACTTTGAATTCTTTCACGCTCTTAAGCCTGCCACATCGGATCGGAATTTGGCCGGTTCAACTGGCAGAATTTCGATCCATGTACACAATCCATGTGCAGCTAGGTTGTACACAAGTTAATCTATCAATCGACTTGTGTATAACCAACCTGCTGGGTTTTTACTGAACAAGTAATGCTGCCAGCTATAGATGGCAACACTAATCAAGTGTTCCACCGGTAGGGAAAGCTTCCTTGTGGCACAACACAATAGCACTGTTGAAGGCATTTTCTCATAAACACTGACTGTGTTGAGGGAAGAATCGAGCAGTTTTCTTTCTTTCCACCTGTGGAAAGTGGAGGGGACACAGCGGAGGACAATCTATGGTCTGCCTTTTGGCCTCTTGCATACTGTGCCAAAATCTGAGTATCAGACATTCCTGGCAGGAAAAATACACGAGGATGGGCTGTATATCACTTGTGCGTATTTGAGAGTATGCACACACAAGCAAGAAGTGTGGCATTTGCTTGTATTTGTAAGTATAGCTGCAAAAATACTGACCAGTATTTTCTTTACTCATCAGTACGCAGCACTTGTTTCCTGGCTTGTGTGTACAGCACATTGTAATCAATGAGCTGCATTAAAAAAATGCTATACTGAGCATTTTTAAGTTGCAGTGTGCAAGAGGCCTTATTCTCCGCTTACCTCTTTCCCTCAGTCTTCATTCTTTGTTTTTATTCCACTTGTACTTTGTAACCTGTGTTTTTTTTTTTTTTTTTTTTTTCCCCCTCTTTCTAAAGCTTTGTACTAAATACCACAATCAGTATGCCACATGAAGACAGAATAACATCCCTAGTCTTTCAGAACAGAGGTGATTCGGAAGGAGGTTATCCAGCTTTGGTGACTACAGGAAATGATGGTCTCTTTAAAGTCTGGTTACTAAGCGACAACTCAGACATTTATAGTAAGCAACATTGTCTTTCTTTTCTATTGAATCTTTTAAAAGATGTAACGTTAATAGCGCATGTTGATGTTTCAAAGGGTTTGTTTCAATGTAAAGTTTGGTAAAAAAAAAAAAAAAAAAAAATTGTTCACAGGGTAGACCTATCTGACTGATATGTTTTGTGTGTTTTACTTAGCAGGTCAGCACAGTAATGCTGGGGACAAACTATAAGCTTTTTTTTTTTTTTTTTTTTTTCCCATTCAGCCCAGTGGGGTTGCGTTGGGGTACCTGTTATCTGAAAGCAAGTCTGGGCTCTATCAGGACTGATTGGATATCATGCACTTATGCTTGTTTTTCTTTTGATTTTATCTTGGTAGTGATTCAGTCTTCAGTGCATGTTAATTGTAGCCAAATATTGGAAAGCACCAGATCTGTTTTTGAATTCCATTAATTGAAATTATAGAACATCAAGCAAATAGAATGTAAAAGTTACATAAAATGCCTTTTAACCACTAGCCGACCAGCCACTGTAGAAATACGGCGGGAGGTTGGCACGGCTGCGCAAAACCACGGTTTAAAACATGCTTTTGCAAAACAGGTAGAGGGCACGCGCCACTGCCCAACCTGTCCCGCCGATCACGGCAACGGATGTCAGTCGCCGGGTCACGGCCGGTCGTTACCAGCTGTGTCCCGCCGATTAGCGGCAATCACTGACAGAGAGCAGGGCTGCATTAGCTCTGCTTTCTGTCAGTTCCCTGTCAGCTTCTGTCATGCTGAGAGAAGAGTTTATCTCTCCGGATCAGCGGTTTCCCATGCAGTACACACCCCCGCCCCCTAGTAAAACACTCCCCTCACACAGTTAACCCTTTCAGTAAATAAAGTTAACCCCTTCCTCCCCAGTGCCATTAGTACAGTGTCAGTGTTTTTTTTTTTTTTTTTGCACTGATCACTGTATTGGTGTCACTGGGGATGTCAGTGACCCCCAAGTCAGTTCCCCCCCCAGTGTCATAATGTCCGCCGCAGTCCCGCCATAAGTCGCAGATCGCCGCCATAAATCACTGATCGCTGCCATAAGTCGCTGATCGCCGCCAATATTAGTATAAAAAAAATTAAAAATTCCCCCCAGTATCTTTCCCGCCATTTGTAAATGCTATAACTTTCACGTAAACCAATTATTTACACGTATTGGGTTTTTTTTTTTTTAGCAAAGACATGTCACAGAATGCATTTTGGCCGAAATTAGATTTTTAAATTTTTTTTACTGGACATGTTTTATAGCAAAAAGTCCAAAATGTTTTTTTTTTTCTCAAAATTGTCAGCCTTTTTTTTTTTTATAGCGCAAAAAATTTAAAACGCACAGGCGATCAAATACCACCGAAAGAAAGCTCTATTTGTGTGAAAAAAAGGACATAAATTTGATTTATGTACCGTAATGCATGACCGCACAATTGTCTGTTAAACTAGTGCAGCGCTGTATAGCAAAAAATTGGCGTAAATTGCAGTATCTATACCATAGTTTGTAGATGCTATAACTTTCACACAAAGCAATCAATATACACTTATTGGGATTTTTTTTCCCAAAAACGTAGCAGAATACATTTTGGCCTAAATTTATAACTAACTTTGAGTTTATATTTTTTATAGCTGAAAGTAAAAAATATCGTTTTTCTTCAAAATGTTTGGTCTTTTTTTGTTTATAGCGTGAAAAATAAAAAGCGCACAGGTGATCAAATGCCACCAAAAGAAAGCTCTATTTGTATGAAAAAAAGGACGTAAATTTCGTTTGGGTACAGCATTGCATGACCGCGCAATTATCAGTTGATTTAGTGCAGCGCCGAGTAGCAAAAAGAGGCTGGTCATTAAGGGGGGTAAATCCTCAGGAGGGCAAGTGGTTAAATGTAAATTTTACATTTACACTGTCCTATTGATTAATTCAATCATAGACTTAAAGTGGAGCTCCAGAAAAAAATACTTTTCTGTTGTAAATGGTCTTGAGAAGTGTTTTTGCAATCCATTTGCCAAACACACCTGGGGGTGACTGGGGATGTTATCCTGGAAACTGACTGTGAGCCATGAGCTTCCACAGTTCAGATTGACAGTTCTCACTTGTGTACAGTGAAAAATAGCATCTCACTCTCCTCTTCTTCTTGCCCCAACCAGTCGCTAAAAGCCTTGTATTCCTTTTACTGAATACAAGGTTTTCTGTCACTGGGTAAAAGGGGAGCAGAGGCAGGTACTCCTCTCACCCATTTGCGGAATTCCTTGTTCTATGAAAAGAATAGAGGAAGAGCGATGCTATCTTTTAGTGTACAGAAGCCAAAAATTTCAGTCTGAGCTGAAGAAGCGCATGCCTCAAAATCATTCCCCAACCAGCCTTTAGGTGTGTTTGGCAAAGGATTGCACATACAGTTCTGTTCAAAATAATAGCAGTGTGTTGAAAAAAGTGAATAAAGCTCAAAATCCTTCTAATAGCTTTTATTTCCATACACACAAATGCATTGGGAACACTACACATTCCATTCCAAATCAAAACATGAAGAAAAATATATCAACTTTGTGTTGTTCCTCTAAAAGAAATTGAAGAATAGTTAATATTAGACTGTTCAAAAAAAAGCAGTGTTTGTATTCTTCTTCTTTACAAACTCAAACATTCACTATATAAACTGAAAAATGTTTGAAGATTTTGCTTTCCTTTGAATCACTTAATTAATATTTAGTTGTATAAGCACTGTTTCTGAGAACTGCTGTACATCTGTGTTGCATGGAGTCAACCAACTTCTGGCACCTGTGAACAGGTATTCCAGCCCAGGATGATTGGACTACATTCCACAGTTCTTCTCTATTTCTTGGTTTTGCCTCAGAAACTGCATTTTTGATGTCACCCCACAAGTTTTCTATTGGATTAAGATCCGGGGATTGGGCTGGCCACTCCATGTCAATCTTGTTGGTCTGGAACCAAGATGTTGCCTGTTTACTGGTGTGTTTGGGGTCGTTGTCTTGTTGGCATTTCCTCTTCTGCTTAAGGCAGCATTACCTCTTCAAGTATTCTGATGTATTCAAACTGATCCATGATCCCTGGTATGCGATAAATAGGCCCAACACCGTAGTATGAGAAACATCCCCATATCATGATACTTGCGCAACCATGCTTCACTGTCTTCACAGTGTACTGTGGCTTGAATTCAGTGTTTGGGGGTCGTCTAACAAACTGTCTCCGGCCACTAGACCCAAAAAGAACAATCTTACTTTCATCAGTCCACAAAATGTTGCGCCATTTCTCTTTAGGCCAGTCAATGTGCTCTTTGGCAAATTGTAACCTCTTCAGCACATGTCTTTTATTCAACAGTGGGACTTTGCAGGGGCTTCTTGCAGATAGCTTGGCTTCACATAGGCGTCTTCTAATTGTAACAGTACTCACAGGTAACTTTAGACCTTCTTTGATCTTCCTGGAGCTGATTGTTGGCTGAGTCCTTGCCATTTTGGCTATTCTTCTATCCATTCGAATGGTAGTTTTTCGCTTTCTTCCACGTCTTTCAGGTTTTGGTTGCCATTTTAAAGCATTTGCGATCATTTTAGCTGAGCAGCCTATCATTTTCTGCACTTTGATTAAAAAGTTGATTGGAGATATAAATGTTTTCACCTCTCCAACTTTTTAATCAAAGTACTCTGTTCTTCTGAACAATGTCTGGAACGACCTCAGGATTTGAGAAAAAAATGAATGACCTCACTAATAGAACTCCACACTGCTATTATTTTGAACATGCCCCTTTCAATTAGTGATTCAATTACACAGAATCAGCAGCATGCATGTCATGACTGTTGGGTCTGTTGGATGTCTATTACTCTACTACACCTGCTAGTAAATTTGTCAGGGATCCCCTCGATCCCCGCCGCTATGGTCCCGGCGCAGGCGCAGTATGCCGCCCTGTGCAGGGACGCGAGCTCTAGGTCCGGGCCGGCCGCGGCGCGCGAGTTCGCGCATGCGCAGTAGGAGCCGCGGCCGCCCGCTGGGCACTAATGGCAGCCCAGGGCGCAATATTTAAAGCTGTCATTCGGTGCCTTCTGGTCTTGTCCTTGCCCTGCATCCTGTATCCTGAACCTGTACCTGTAAGTTGCTGACCCGGATTGTACCTGACCACTGCTGAATTCTCCTGCCCAGACCCTTGCTTTGCCTGACCTCTCTTCCGTATGTCCCCTATTGGATCTGACCTACTGTTGCTGACCTGGCGTGTGACCCGACTATTCTCTGCCCGCTGCCTTGTACCGTACTGTCCCCCCCGTTACCGACCCGGCTTGCCTGACTCTGCACTTGCTCAGCCAGCCATCCATCCATCCATCCATCCCTCTCAGCGGGATCTCCAGACCTCCTCATATCAGGCTCTCTCCCGTGGGAGCCCCTGGCGAACACCCCTACCACTGACGGGTATCCTCAGTAAGCACGACCTGGTCCCGGGGTACTCCAAGTCCATCCCCACCATCAGGGGCCCTGGTGAACAAGTACTCTAGGACTTAGACTCCGTGCGCTGGGGACGCCTGATTAGTGGAGTGCTAGTGGTGTCGCCGGGCGGTCCCTTACAAAATTATTTGCCATGTAGAAATATAATTTCTACCAAAAACAGTGATTGATCAGGTTAGTGATGTCTGACTGCTATTATTTTGAACACAACTGTACTTTCTCTAGACTATTTACAATAAAGTATTGTGGAATTTCACTTTAAACTTAGCTGGGAGACAAAGAATGCGCTTTTTTTTTTTTTTTTTCTTTCTTTCTTTACAAGAATGTGGCCTTTACTAGTCTAAAACTGGCCTCACGCTTGTAGGTTTTTTTTTCACCCTACAAGCGAAACAGATCTAACCGATTTCTCTATCCACACCAAACCAGAGTGGAGGTTGAATCTCCTACTGTGGTGCCAGCTGCAAAACTATCAGAAATTTTTCAATCAAAGGATGTTAAGCAGAGTGGTGCTGACAGGGCCACCCATTGATAGAATTTCAGCTAGTTCATTAGCAACCAGACAAAATTTGTGTTTGTGTGTGGCCAGCTTTAGACTTGCAGTCATTTAACTGTCATTAGACCAATAATTTTATGGGTTCTGGTAATTTCCCTTCGCAAGAAAAGCACCTTCATACATGTGTTTTGTATGTCTGCTGAAGGTCTGTGGAGCCATTTAGTAAGCATGTGAATGTACATTAATGGCAGTTGATTTTGGCAGAGAGTTTCTTAAAGCTGAACTCCAGGCAAATAAAAAGACACAACTACTGTACAGCAGAACTCAGACTGGAGGAGGGAAAACAGCAGAAATAGCCAATCTGTTTTTTACCTCATATTAGCATGCCCCTTCCACAACTGAGCACTGAAGGGATGTGCTCATCAGTCTGCTGCTTTTCCAATCACTGTCCAGTCACAGGCCTAAAAGTTTTACTGAACTGCAAGAGAGAAAAAGGACTCCTACCTTAACAGGCAGGGCTGTGCTGTGGTAGAGCTGTGGAAAGTTAGAACTCGCAGGTATAACAGCTCCCATATGTGTATTTATTTAGTGTATTTAAAGTGTTACTAAACCCAGGACTCTGCATTCACTATATCTGGTCTCCCACAGTACACAGAACATGGAAGTGTAATTAATTTAGTAAATATATAAACTGCTAAATACCTTTTCTCATCAGCAGTCTTGTGACTTCTATCAGTGTCCGGCAGAGCACATGTTAAGGCTTGGAGGAGTTTTCTTTTTGCTCTAGGAGGGTGCAAAACCCTGACCTCTGTCTGCACAGTGCTGATTGGTCCTGTGCTGATCACATGCACTCTCCCAAGCAAAAAAAAAACCCACCTCTCTAGCAATACACACTAAACTGAGCACGTGCAAAGTGTCTCCACAGATATGTCTTACCAGGAGATAAGAGGGAGACACTGAAAGAAGGGGAGGATCAGAGAAGTTAGGGTCAAACAGCATTTTTAAACAATGCAGAGGATTAACCCCTTATGTTCCACACTGAGTATAACAAGTATGCTTTACTGAATATACAAACTGATTTTACTGTTGTGGGTTTAGTACCACTTTAACTGTTTGCCTTTAACGTTTTGAGTAACATATGGAACAGTGCTACAGTGCAGTACACTACACTACTGCACTGTCCCACACATTCTATACTGCGGTGCTGTCCCGCATCCTCTGCCCTGATGCAGTGCTTTTCTGCACAGTGAAATGGTATAGCAACATAGAGTGTGAGGAATGGTGCAGCAGCATAGTAATTGATCTGCATTCTTTACACATAGAAAACCAAAAAAGGATCCTGCCACTTGATCAAACCACCTCAGGTCCCTAGCAGGAAATGCCAATTTAGATCTATTGATCTTGTTGTTTTTCTCTACAAAAATTGCCTACATGGTTTCATTGTTTGCATTATTGTAAAATTGTTAGGGCAGAGACACATAAAATTAGGTGAAGGGGAACATGCAGCTAATTTTTACTTTGCATTGATTACTCCAATACCTGTTTCTGTCTACAACTTTTTTACAGAACAAAGCACTGGCTGGAGCTGTGATTTTGTGGGTAGTTATCACAGAAACAAGGCTCTTGGCTGCTGCTTCTCTGAAGATGGCTCTCTTTTTGCTGTTGGATTTGAAGAAGTTCTTACTATATGGGAGACAAGCACTTGGGACTTAAAACATACCTTCTGCCAGCCACCAGGAAAAATAAGGTAGGAAGCTCAAAATGCATACATCGATCATATAATTGATGTACTGCATTCACATTTATTGTATATAATGAGGCATCATTGGTCAGAATACAGCCTTACACTGTCTGTTTGTCTTGCCAGATGTGGAAGGAGGGGATGGGGCTCTGCTAGCCTTTACCATCTCAAGCAATGATTTATTATGTGACTTGTTTGATTTTGATCTATAATGATTTGTTTGTCAAACTTCTGAAAATGCAAGATGCTTGGTTGTTTATGGTTTAGAGCTTTAGCTACTGGATGGAGCGTACAGCAAGTGAAGTCAGAGGAAATTAGAATTACCCAATTTTGTCAGTTCTGATATTTCTCTCATATCAGGTGTCCTTTAAGTAGTTGTCAGGCACATGCAAAGAGAGTGTTTATTATGAGCTCCAGGCTTACAATTGGTTTATATGGTTTACTTTGTTGTGTTCACTTTGGCTACTGTGATCTGTAGTCTGTACTGTACATCTTAAAATCAGGGTGGATTTGATTTAAATCAAACTGATTTAAATCACTAGTCAGTAAGGCTTGATTTAAATGATAGTTTTCTACATAGACTAATTCTTGCTGGTATAACTTTAATATGCAAGTAGATGAAGATTTTTAGAATAACAACTTTTCATATTAGTTTTTTTATCCCCAGTTTAATAGGTTAATCATTCATATTTGGACAACTTTTCTGTTGTAGTTAGGAAGGAGAAAAAAAAATCATTACCTTAATAATAACAATTTAAATAGATTTATTCATCTGAAACAATAAAATTACAGCATATGTTATTTTTGTTAACTAATTTGGCTAAACAAAATATATATATTTTAAGAAACTTAGACTCTCAGCCCCTTCCTCCTCACACTTAGTTTCACTTTCTTCTTGTGCAGATCTATTCCACTCCAAACAATCAGAAAAATATTGTTTCTATTCAATTCACTGAACTTCTTGAAACTTAGCACTGAAGGGGTTGATTCTGTATTCATAGGTTTGTAGAAATTAGGATTAAGGTCTTTCTTAACTCTGTTCATGTTATAACATTTTTGCTGTGAAGAAGAGGCCTGTGATCTCCGCTGAGTCAAATTCAGTTTTGAGAACTGCAAAAGTAAACCAAGCATCTGTGATAATATCTTGTAGGCAGAGAAACTGCCCAATAATCTTACAAAAACCTCTGGAAGAGCATGACATTGTTAATGGATTAATGGAATTTATTTACCAAAAAAATTAAACATATACAGCCTTATTCTACATAATTAAAAAACTAATATTTATTTCATGATGGAATAACCTTTGGATGGTAATATATTTTCCTCAAAAAGCATTTTATTCAAAAAAATCAGATTTAAATCAAAAAAATCCAATTTAAATAAAAAAAAAATCCGATTTTTTTTTTTTTAAATCATTGATTTTTATCCACCCTGCTTAAAATGGAAAAAAACTACTATTGAAATTATTATTTTTACATCAAAAAAAGTAATTTACCTGCCAAAACAACAGATATATATAAAAATAAGATTCCACAATGCATAACAAACACATTTTATTTGTGGGTTTACTGTTTACTGATTGTTTGTTTTGAGAAAATATAGTTACCAGTAAGTAGCTATTATTTTCCGTTATAGCCGCTGGAAATGTTGTTGAGATAAATTTAGAGTTTGCTAGTTTTACATTTTGTATTATTTATGACAGCGGTCTCCAAACTGTGGCCCCTGGGCTGAATTCGTCCCTTTACTTGTCTGTATGCGGCTCTTGGGAGCACTGTTCCTTCCACTGATACCAATGACGGTGCTTATTCCTTTCACTGACACCAATCATGGATATTTTTCCTTCCACTGCCACTAATAATGGGGCACTATTCCTCCCACTAGCGGAACAATGGGGTACTATTCCTCGCAGTGACACCAACAATGGGGCTCTGATCTTCCAATCAACACCCATGATGGGGCACTATTCCTCCCACTAACATACCAATGGGGCACTTTTCCTCTCAGTAGCATAACAATGGGGAACACACCCTTTCTTGATGAGCAGCCAATCGGTGCTCATTACACTGCAAGGTCTCTCCTCCCTGCTAGTTCCCGGGTGCGCTGCTGAAGACAGGGAGGGGAGGAGGAGATAAACAAGCGCATTAAAAATATTACATGTTTAAGTCGCCATAAAGCCTCTTTTGTTTTTAAAAGCCCCAGACGTTCCTAAAATCACTTCCGATTTAAATACGGTTTTGGTTAATTTTTTTTTTTGTTGTTGTCTGAACAAGTAGATTGTCATGAGGGACAAGTAGATTGGGGCCCCGATTTAGTCCCTGGACAAGTAATTTTTTCAAAAATTTCCACACCCCCTGTGTATAATTTTACTCCCACTGACACTGGGCTCCATTTCCTGCTCCAGCTGGCCACAGTTTGGCCCTCCCTAAAGTCTCATGGACAGTAAACTGGCCCTATGTTTAGAAAGGTTTGGAGACTCCTGATATGACATTGACTTTATAACTAAAGAAAATCAAGTGGACTACGCAAAAAAAAAGAAAAAAAATTAGTTTTTAGTGTTCTCTACATTAACTCCATAATTTCATTTTAGGACTGATAAGTTGAACATTTCTGTTCTCATGCTTAGTAAACATTACTTCTGGTGTAGAGCCTAGTCCTGTCCCCTCTATTATTTCCAACACAGCCATACAGGGTAAATACAAATTGCATTGGATATTGTAGCTGTGTTTTTTTGCTACAGAAGTTTCTGAATTGGTTCCCTCAATCTGGCTCACCATCTATAAATTAGATCATTCTCAATGCATAATGCATACAGAGCAGTCAACTGTAGGTGATACTCAAGCTTATTTGTAGGAGTTTTACACCAATACCTAAAGCGGAGCTCCACCCAAAAGGGGAAGTTCTGTTTTAAGACTTCGTCCCCAGCTCCCCATAACGGATTGGCATCTTTTGGGGGGGGGGGGGGTACTCAGATTTGACAGGTAGCAGTGTTCCTCCAGTCTAAGCAAAAAACCCTTTTGGGTTTATACCTCTTTGGGAACCGATCAGAGTGTTTCCTAATCATGTGATCACTGTGTGCTATGATTATGTGTATGTATGCGTTTTCCTTTTTTTTTTTTCTACTTGTTAGTAAAATGTTTTTTTAATAAAACATTGTACTAATCCTGGCGTAGTGGCCATTGGATGGAACCACAGAGCACAACGTGGGACTAAGCATCTGACACACCTCAAAAGATGTTCGATACTGAGGATTGTTAAGCACGGTGAGGTAAGGACTCCCACCTGCTGTAGAGGTACGTTTAATACTTCTTCCTTTATTTTCAGTTTGTTTTTTCGACAACAGTGTCTTTTTAAATTCTGGCTTTTGGTTGATACCGGGTTATTATTGGGGCTTAAAATCATTAACCTCTTCTCTTTTCTGCACAGGAGTGTGTGTTTTGGAAGATTTAATTGTTCCAAATATCTTGTTGCCTCAACTGACAGTGGAATAATAAATTGCTGGGACCTGCTGACGTGTTCGTGTAAGTCTTTACCTGCACCAGTGAACCCAACATTCTGAATACCTACAAACTGAGCATGACCAGATTTTAGAAAAAATTAGGTCATTATGCACTTCTCTGCTCATTCCTGCTTACCACTCCCCATCTGACTCTCTTCTTTGGTTCGTATTCAAAACCAATGTGAGATTTGCTGTGCAAGCACACTGACCTTCAAATTTTGATATGTAGTCTCTCATTTGGTACCTGGTCAAGGTCTTTGTGTGTTTAAAAGAAAAGACTAACTTAACAGTCAATAGCTGCAGCCCAAAAACTTCTGAAAGTGGCACTCATTGTTGAAGTTTAAACTTTTTTCTTTTATTTTTATTAGTTTTTTTTTTGTATTGGGAACCTGTTGAGCTTATTCATTGTTATGTCTGTAGTGATGGAATAACATTACCTTGCATGTGGAAAGTTCCTTAAATAACTTTGCAAACTAATCAAAAATTAATCCATCTGTGATGTGTTTGCTTATTCAAAATGGTCTTGGCAGGAAAAATATGGTTTATTTTGGACATGTTAATGTACAAGCTATACCATCAAATACTTCAAAATGGTGCTGACTAGCCAAAAAATGTCGGTGTCGTATTTTGTTTCAAACCTTCAATGTTTCCACAGCTGTGTGATTTGCTCCACATCACTAGAAGATTCCATAAAATTGCTGCTTGGGATGTTGCATGCTTTTTTTTTATACCATCATTTTTGTTGTTTTGAGTCAGCTCTTGTAAAGCACTGTGGAATATGTTAACCTGTATCAGCATATCTTGAGATGTTGGGTTTGTTCAGTGCAATTCTGAACTAGATGTTTTCCTAAAATATACTGAGCCCATCCCTTGTTTGTCAGATATACAGGTAGGTTATCTTGCTTAAATGTTTTTTCTTTTTTACAATTGACAGCTGTCCCAGTTTTCAGTGCTTGAGATTTATTTTTTTGAGATGTTCCCAATTTTCAATACTGGGCAACTTAAAGCCCAGAGGAACCCTTGTGATTTATTGTGGATTATACTGTTAGACTGCTTTCCTTTAACTTTTTAACTTGAACAGCTAGGTTCTGCAACAAGGGTTAAGATATCCACCACCCTCACTCACAAAGCTGCAATCCAACTGTGCATTGGCCTGTAACAATATCCCCCATCTCACCCAAACACTGTTCCAATCAAAAGCACTACTTAGACTGGGGCAGTGTTCAAGACAAGTTTTTACAGAGCACTGGCTTGCTGGGCCTCTGCATTGTATATGAAATTGGTGGTCTGACAATATGCTGCCAACACAGGGTATTTTAACATTTTGCTGCAGCACTTATCAGTTTATAAAAAGCAAAATAATGATTTTTGAAGAGTAGACAGAGGTATACAGCATGAATTCAGGAGCTCTGGATGTAAGCATATTACATTACATCAAAAATACCAGGTATATGAACTTATAAAGGCAAAATATTTGTCATAGAATTATGTAACAATCAAACACATCTCATGAATCCTAAGGTGCAACATGCTGCCCTAACTCATTGAGTTCATAATCTATTCAGAGATACACGCCATGAAATAGTTGCCTGAGGGTGCATTTAGAACAATAAAGAGCTTGAGGTACAGGGCTTTCCATACCTTTGAATGGTAGGACCTGTAATCATGAGGCCAAAGAGAATAGGGAAAGTAGAAAAGGAGGGGAGAACTAGAAGAGAAAGCAAAAGTGGAATGAGCACATAAGAATTAAAGGGGGGGGGGGGGGGGGGGGGGTTAAAGAAAGTTGGGAAAGTCTTCAGAGGTTGCCATGTTAGTTTTGAAAATATTTGTTCAAAGTGGAGAGGCTAGTCAGGGTCTCAGAGATGGAGAAGGGTCTCAGAGATGTAGTCTGCTGTTAAGTTTAGTCATGGCTGCCAAATTGAGAGAAATGTTTCATGAGAGTCTTCTAGTATAGCAATCAGTTTTTCATTAACCCCTTCCTGATAATTAACAGCCTCAGGAAGTTGGTAGTCTACCATGGGGCCACACATATGTGCTACTGCTTTTGTGCTGGGAGCATGCTGCACCAGCAGCTCCGGGTCTTGTACTGTCTGCAGGACAGTTCCTGAACACATGAACACCTGATCGGCAATTTACAGCCCACACCTGTGTTTGTTCCTCCTCCTTGAATGGAGAAAAAGATGCAATATATATATTTTTCTCCCTACTAAAGGAGAAGATGTAAAGTAGAAAAGAAAAATGGCTAAATTAGGGGAAGATGTAGGTCAATGTCAGGGTTTGGGTCAAGGTTAGGCTTAAAGGACAAGTTCAAAATTAAAGATTGAGGTTAAAGACCACAGTCAGTGTGTTTTAGGTAGAACTACAAACATTTTTTTTTTATTATTAGTGTCAGTGTGTATTAGGTAGGATAAAAAAGTGAAATGCACAAATCCTTCCACATAAGTTGTACCTGTTTTCCTGTAGCCATCTCTTCTAAACCACACAGATCAAAGGCTTTTTCTTCGCTCTAGCAGGTAGGGGGCAGGAATCTTGTGTCACTGTACAAAGAGTAGAGATAAGTGTCAAATGAGACCTGAGTGGCGGGAAAGGACCGCCCCCTACACAGGATAATAGGGAATCATGAACAGCAGAGGCCCCTGGGTGGTTCTGTCACGGTGGATTCTGTGGTGTCCAGTTAGATTGTCAGAATTGAGTCATGCAGAGAGAGGAGTGGTCAGAGAGGAGAGCGAGCCAGACTAAGTGCATTGGATTGATGCTAGTACACATTATGGAGGGATATGCCTTGTTCATTTTTCATTCCAAAGGTTTGCATTTTAAGTAGAGATATCACAAGATGTTTGTAGTTGCAGATAGAGTACTTTATTATGAAAATTATGAGTTTCCCAGAGCTGTGGAAAAGTGTGGAATCCTTGCATTGTTAACAAGGTGTAGACTTTGTTGCCTCCACAGCTAGAATGTTTGAGGGTCATCCATCCTCAGTAAGAATAGAGGGTAATTGAAGAGGTGAAGTAACAAGTGGGGTGATATTGGGTGATAGCTTATAACTGGTGTTCCTCTTCTGCACCTTGGACACAGGTATTATCTAGAATGGAAATGATCAAACTTACTGAATGCATTTATCATACTTTATACGATTACATGCATATCTATAATAAGAAATGGGACTACTGGAATATCCCCTTATTTTAAGATTTATGAGGTATTTTCTACTATGCCACTACAGATTTTTGTTATATGAATATAATCTATTCTTTTTTAGTATGTTTTATTCATGTTAAGCTTGGTATAGTTACAATATGCTGATGTTCATTTGAGTCCCTAACCAATGTCAATTTACATTTGCCTTCTCTCTACCAGCTGCACTTTTGTAATCTGTAACCGGTTTTTCATGTGCTTCATGTATTCTGGTTATACTCTGACCTTCCAAATAGTTGAAAAAAAAAAAATGGGGTGATATATATCCACCTGAGTATTTGAAGAGTCCCAAATGGACAGAGTGGGGTTGATTTATTAAAGTTGGGAAGTGCAAAATCTGGTGCAGCTCTACATAGAAACCAATCTGCTTCCAGGTTTTTTTTTTTGTTTTTTTTTTGTCAAAGTTTAATTGAACAAGCTGAAGTTAGAAGCTGATTGGTTACCATGCACAGCTGCACCAAATTTTGCACACTCCAGGTTTTGTAAAAATCAACCCCCGTGTTTGTTAGAACCAGGCTAAGAGGTTTAGGGCATAATGATGGAGAAATCCATCTAAGAGAGGAGAGGGAGACTGGATGGACCTCCATCACATCCAAGAGACTACATAATGGCATGTCGGATATGGCATGAAGTTGAACCAAGGGTGTAATCTGGGCAGCTTTATAATAGTAAGGATACACAAGCCTGGTGTGTCTGAGCCTGGTTGCTCTACATAAGATTTAAGATTTTTGTTTAGAATGTGATTTTTTTTACTGTACAGGCAGACTTATTGCAGTAAATCACGAGTTTTCAATTGGGCTTTAATCCAAATTAAATGCAAAATATACTATATTTCTAGTGAGTACATAGTTCTGATTGCAGATGTTTTTCCTATAGGTAATTTTTGTATTTGACATTCACATTTTTACCTAATTATGCAGGCCATAGATGGGGAGAAAAACTGCAGATTTTTCTTTTAAAAAACGAAAAATCGGTTGTTCAAGTGGCCGACGTTACCATCAATGGTAAAAAAATCGGCCAATTTTCTACCCGTCTAGAGCCGGCAAAAAGTGTCCCTGCAGAGAGCTCTGCTATTTCTTTGACAGTTCTCTGACAGTTCCTTGACATTTATAGAAGTTGCAACAATGTATCTATTTGTTTCCATTTAGGATACAGATGTTTTTATTCGGAAACAAATAGATACAATGTTTCAACTGCTGTAAATGTCAAGGAACTGACAGAGAACTGTCAGAAATAGCGGAGCTCTCTGCAGAGACACTTTTTGCTGGACTGGAATTCTTATTTTCATCCTTCTTCTTCTTCTTCTTCTTCTTCTTCTTCTTCATCCTCATCCTCATCCTCTTCTTCTTCATCCTCATCCTCTTCTTCTTCATCCTCATCCTCTTCTTCTTCTTCATCCTCATCCTCTTCATCCTCATCCTCTTCTTCTTCTTCTTCATCCTCATCCTCTTATTCATCATCCTCATCCTCTTCTTCTTCATCCTCATCCTCTTCTTCTTCTTCATCCTCATCCTCTTCTTCTTCTTCATCCTTATCCTCTTCTTCTTCTTCTGCATCCTCATCCTATTCTTCTTCTTCATCATCATCCTCTTCTTCTTCATCATCATCCTCATCCTCTTCTTCTTCATCATCCTCATCCTCTTCTTCTTCTTCATCCTCATCCTCTTCTTCATCCTCATCCTCTTCTTCATCATCCTCTTCTTCTTCTTCTTCTTCTTCATCCTCATCCTCTTCTTCATCTTCTTCTTCTTCATCCTCATCCTCTTCTTCCTCATCCTCTTCTTCTTCCTCATCCTCTTCTTCTTCCTCATCCTCATCCTCTTCTTC